ATTTTGTCTGTAGTGCCTTTTATATATGGGAGGAGGGCTTTGCCGTTTTCTTGTTCTCTGTCTTGGATTTTGGTTGGGGTTTCTTTTTGGATTAGGTGGGTAATCTTCTTTCTTTCATCGAAACGTTGCCTAGATACTTCGAATCTTACGCAGGAGAAAACCCGAACAACCAAAGATCCACATACAAATACCCGCGAGAACCTCAGAAAACAAATATATGTGTATATATATATATATATATACATACATACATACATACATATACATATACATATACATATACATATACATATACATATACATATACATACATACATACACGTATATATTACGTTTTTAAAGTAACTGTGTGTGTGTATCCTTTTGTACCTTTGTGACCCTCAGGATTCTCCAGAACTTGCTAATTACGCTTTTATGTGGGTGATACTCTTTATCTAAATAAACAACTTCATGTACAGTCTGGATGATAGAAATAAAAGGAATGACATTTTGAGGTGATGTTTGATCCATGTAATTTATTCTTTATTTTTAGAATCACAGCCACTCAGAGTGCATCAGACCACCACTTCCTTCCTATGTTGTGTCACCCCAAAAGGCAGTTTTCCACTTGAAAGGATCCTTTGTGAGTAATTGAACTACATGTACCTCAATCACTCTGTCAGATGCCTTAGAGAATAGATGATCAAAACAAGATCAGACAATAGCTTGTTTTGTTTATCTATAGCAATTATAATGATTGGCATTTTTGAAGTGGCTATGTAGTTGAATGTTACATATAACTAATTGAGGGACAAATTCCATTCCTATGCATCGAGTCTTATTGGCTGTTGTCAGAAGTTGTCCATGAACAAGTAAATGTGATGCAGTTCAGATTCATGGTACTGCAATGTTTTGCCTGCCTGTGGTCTGATTATCTTAATTTCTGCTGTGTAATTCAGATTTCCAAGAAAGACTTAAGTTGAATAGGGAATTCTGGATATTTGTTCCTTCCATTAAAAATTAACTATTCACTTAATGGATTTTAAAATATTTAAGTGGAATCATTAGCAGCAGAATTGAAGAGAAATGAACTAGATTTTAATTTAATTTGAAATAAATGATAATAGTTTTTGTTGTTCTGATTTCAAATAGTATTATTAAGTCTATTTATTAGTCATGCATTGGAATGGAAACAATACTGAATAAATATTGTGGGCTCAGCTTGAGTGTTATTTATCTTGACAATTATAGTAATTATAATTATAGTATAAGTTTCTCTTTTCTTATTTTAAAATAGGTAGCAATACATTTTTTTGGAAGTCCTGGACTCATAATACTCTTAATCAATCGTTAGATAATAATACTTTTAAAATTTCTGAGATTCTGAAAAAGGGTTTTTAAATGGCAATAAATACCATTAAAATATTTGTTATTTATGCTTACTCCTTTGCCCTAGCATTCCAAGTTTTTTTTCAAATAAAAAAATTGTTTGGGTATATTAATAAGCTGCATTAGTAATGAATTTGAAGGAATGTTGGTAATTATTCAATTCCTTATTGGTCAAATATTATAGCCATGGTGAATCAAATCTTTTTAAAGGCAATTAATTTAACAATAAATTGATATCCTTAATCCTTATCTTTCAGAAATGTGTAAATGTGTATAAATGTTCAATCTTGGAAGAACTTTGGATTTATTGTTCTTGAATTATGTCAAAAAAGTTGGTCATCTACACATGGAAGAATAGTTCAATTTCAAATTGAATGTTGATTCTGTGAACTTTTGTCAATTTTGAGTCAGCATTGTATCAAGAGAGAGGCAAGACTAGAGAATGCAATTCGATATGCAGTAGATTCAATTCATCATAAAAAAATGAATTACAACATTGAAAAAATAAAGTTATATAATTTCAATAGTATGATATTTATCAATCTATATAAAAATGTGTTTAGATTATTGTTATTTTGACTTCCTAGTTTAGTGGTTTATTTTGTTTTAATTTTCTGCTGCTGTGCCACTGCCTCATATCTAAGCCACTACAGTAGAACTGTGGTGGCTAGACCAAAGGCCAATTCAATCATATCCAGTGGCTCACAGTGGCTAAAAAGATACCAGTGGGGAGCCCACAAAGAAGATATGAGCAAAGTGATATCTTATTGCTCATGTTCCATTTAGTAACTAGTAATTAGAGTCACAATAGTCTTGATGCCAAACTGAATCATCCTGAGTAGTAGATATTATTAGTCTTCTCCATGCATTTGACTAATATAAAAACCATCTATGTTAGTGGCTATAAGGTATTTCAAGAAAATGAAATATAATTTTTTTCTCCTACAGAACAAGTTGAAATCTCTTCAGATGTGGTATTCCAAGCTTGATTTTTCTACTGCCAACTCTACATTATTTCAGTCATTTGGGGCTAAAAATGTGAGTATACCATAAGTTAAAGGGTTAATATGATTATGATACAGGTGATGGATATTGCCTTTAAGAGTCTATCTCAGCAACTAAAGGTATGCAAAGGAAGAGCATTTGCCCCCATGCCATCTTCTACAAAGCTGCCTCTGTAACAAAAGAGTAACCCTGTTTAAGTAGGAAAAGTATTATGAAGTTCCCATGTCTGAAATGCATGCATCTTGTCATAGAAGGCAATATATTTCTGCTTTTAATGAGGCAACTAAAATTTAGAAAGAAATATGAGAATTCTAAATTCCTCTCTCCCACCCAGAGCTGTAGCATTGTTTCAATCGTATAGCATGTTATTGTGCTATAGCCATAGCTCCATCTACAGATGAAGAAAAATAGCAGTTTGGATCGAATGGGAGATTTCAGGGGTGGGATTCTATCGGTTCTGTCCACCTCTGTAGAACCGATTGTTCTGAAGAGCAGCAGACATAGAACTGTTTTGGCCCACCCGCCTGCCCGGGTTCTTACCTGCCCTTTATTTCCTGTTTTTTCAACCTCAACTGCTTTGTGCGGCACAGCTGCGGTTGAAAAAGTAGGAAAAAAGGGCTTTTCCAACCACTGCATACTTGCACGGAGCACTGCTCAGCTGTCCGGGCAGCTCAGCAACTTGCTCATGTCCGCGAGACGCAGAACAAGAGAACCGGTAGTTATACCGGTTGGATCCCATCCCTGGGAGATTTGTAGCTTCCATTGATACCCCTGTGTTGCATGTGACTTCATATTTTTTTGTGCTCCTGTTTCATGACATATGTTTGATGCCTTATGTTAAAACTATAAGCCCTATATATTTTAAATTGATTACAGGTGCCCAACTCCAATAGACTCCAGGTGGTGTATAAAAGCAAAATTTTAGCCTACCTATAACACCTAACACTCCCCTAATAAATTGCTAATATGGGAATGTAGTAAAGCACTTGGAATGATAATTTGCAGCTAAAACTCATTTCTTTAGAGTTCTTCGTATATGTTTTCTTCCTCTTAGTTTGCCCACAACAACAATCCTGTGAGGTACATTGGGCAGAGAGAGTAACTGGCCCAAAGTCACTTAGCTGGCTTTCATGTATAAGGTGGGACTAGAACTCACTGTCTCCTTGTTTCTAGCTTGGTGCCTTAAGTGCTAGACAAAATTGTCTCTCATTTTTGCCAGTGGACCAAGAATGAGCCCTTTCCAATACCTTGAAAGATCTCCCTATATGTATTGCTACTATTGGTTGCTTGTTGTTCTTGCTATGCAGATTTCTGAAGGAATACTGACACTAAGCTTGGGCTTGGATGAGATCTATACCTTGACAACTCTAACAACTGGCCATAAAAGTTCTTCCTCAGAACCTCCTCCTTCTCAACGTTTTCCGTCCACTTACAAAGATGATTTCAATATCCGTAAGTCAACATAATCTATTTTGACGGAATTCCTTACTTGATGATCCTAGGCTATTAGTCATTTTTGCCAAGGATAGGGCTTCATCAACAGTATAAATTCTCTAGGATTCCCAGTAGTAGAGGAACAGACACCTATAATGGTAAACATAGAATTCAATACATTGGGAGAATCTATTGACAATCTTAAGTCTAATCCCTTGTTTGGACAGGGATCCAAATTAGACTGTCCATGATAGATAACTATTTAGCTCTGTTTGGTGATTATTGCTGCAAATTGGACAGTTGTTCACTGAACTTCTTTCTGCAGCCTTTTAGTTTGAAAGCATTTAGTTGGTGTAAATTGCAAAAAAACTTGAGCACTGAGATCTGAGCCCACTAGAGTTCCCAATCACATACAGATTTCAGTTGACTGTTCTTAGTGGCCTTTTTTTTATTTAGCATGATAACATTGAAGAGATGACAAGGCAGTAAAATGAGTTTTTCAGTACATATGACAATAAACAGTTACAATCTGGAGTCCTTGGAACTAAGAAATGGCTACTTTTGTATAATATGAACACCTGTGACTGTGAGGGATTGAAATAATAAAAATTATGTTTTTCAAACAGGCAACCCACCTTTCAGTGAAGCACCATATTTTGCTGATCAAACAGGAGTGTTTGAATATTTTATTAATGCTTCTGATCCAGGGGAGCATGTCTTCACCCTCCGACAAGTGGTGACTCAGAGACCTATTACCTGGGTTATGGATGCAGTGAACACAATCAGCATTATAGGCAGCTATAAGTGGTATGTAGTACATATATTTTCAATTTAGTCCGAAGTTTATTAGGAAACGTGGGCATAGCAGTGAACTTACAGTTTCAGAGAATCTTTTGTTGATAGTCTGCTTTATTGTGGTTATTCTTTATTTTAGCTTTATTTCATTCATTTTACATAGCTCCTCATTTCACTTATGTGACTAGGCTAGGGCATCTTATCTCATGAGTTAAAACAGCAAAGACAAACTCAACAGAAATGAAGTAAAATAATGAAAACAAATAACCTTTTTTTAACCAATCAAAGCCTTGTCTTATAGCAACGTCTTCAGGGACTTCCTAAGGGCCAGTGAGGTTGTAACCAATCTATTCTGTCACATCAGAAAAAGGTCTCCTGGGTCCCATCAGATGGAACTCCTTTTTAGATAAAGACCCAGAACATGCCATTTCTGCTGAATCTGAGGTGTTTTCAGGTTTATGTTAACCTATGCTACAAAATGTTTAAGACTGCCACCTAGTGGTAATGTGTGTAATGAGAAGCTGATGAGTAAAGCCGTTGCCAAAACATATTTCCTGTGACAAAAATTATCCCAGCTACCTATGGTATTCTAAAAAATAGGCTTGTTACAAGGATATGACTTACACTTCAAAGCATGAATTATTTGGTCTCTTGAATTCTGGAAACAAAATTGCTGTAAATAAACTTACATTTTAAGACACTATGGTGCCCTTCAATTTTAAAAATGAATCTACAGAATGCTTTACAAATAAATTATAAAGAACATTCTGATATAACATTCTTCCCTATTTCAGAATTCTTTTCCTTGATCTCATCTTTGATATTGTTTCTTCCTCAGCTTTGTTAAATTAGAAAAGAATGTACCTAGGAATAAAATGGAGGCCCATATAGCTAGTAGCATGGTAGCCAGAGAAATGGAACATTGTGTAAAATTGTTAATTATCCTTTTAGATTCAGTTTTCCTAAAAAGATTGATAGTTGCCTCTCTGTTGCTCTTAGAGGTATTCCCAGAGGTGTTTTTAGGTGCAATATTTCTTTGTCGGAAACAAACTTTTAAAATCTTATAAAATATTAGGAAGTTTTGAAGGTGAATTTTGTCTGGCTTCTACAAAATTTGTTAATCTTATTTACAATGTGTCTTACTTCATCTTTGCTAAAAATAATCTAAGATGAAGCAGTTCCCATTTGGGAAGTCTTATATGGAATAACCTTTAGTCCTAAATAAAGCATTATTATATTTAGAATATTATTTTAGATATTTAGGGGAGAAGCAGGAAGAAAATAGCATTGCCCTGACTTATTATAATTACAGTGCATGAACTGGATCACCCTTAGGTTGTTACAAATTCTGATTTCAAAATAAGCAAGAGAAAAGACTATTCAAACATTAAGACAATTAGTATCCATTCCCCCAAAACCCAGTCCCAATGTTTAACCATCTTCCATTTATTCTTGCAGGGTAAATTTCATAATAACCTGTGATATTTATATAGAATCAAATAAAGGAGGAGCATTCATTGCAGGACGAATTAGCAAAGCTGGCATATATGTTGCATCTGCCAAAGGGATTTTCTTCTGGGTTTTTCCTGATGGCACATATCAGGTCACAGGAGATCTCGGTGAGTTCTTACTTTTGAACTTTTGCAGTATGATGGGGGAGAGTGTTAGATAGGTGGATTACCCTCTATTCTCAGGGGCTCGATAACTGTCCTGAAAATCTTTCATGTTAACTATTTCAGAATCTTACCCAACTGTCTTCAGATGTTAGGAAGCAATCAAAAGGGTAGAAGTTGTACATATTGCTGTGTAAAAAGCAAAAGGTTGTGGTTGTAATATTGTTACCTTCTACTGTTCTAAAAAGAATCAGAAGTTGGTACCTTCTTCTTCTTTTTTCTCCCATTACACTATATCCCTTCTTTTTCCCTCCCTTATTCTTATTTTTCCATGTTTTTTTATTCTTTGTATTTTATACCTGGATAAACTAGTAAAAGTTAAATCATAAAAAAGGATAGAAGTTGGAGCATTTTTTAAATATTCAAAACTGAAAATGCAATCAAAATGTGAACTATATCACATACAGTACACCACCAAATAAATTACAATATTGAAAACTATCTTTTATCCTTAGCTTATTTTAAAATGTATCGCTGAATTTGAATATAATATACTAATTATATTGTATTCTTGTATGCTTTTAATTTAATTTTACTTAATTTTGTTCAGATTTAGAGTTTGTGTGGCACATAATATCAATTCACTTTCTGTATAGAGAAAGCATTTAAAAATGTTACTGTTTTATAGCTGGTAATGAAATCTTGATGAAAGGGTTATCTGGTGTGCAAGCAAACAGATGGCATACACTCACTCTGATTCTCAAGGTAAGCATTGAAGTGCTATCCAAATACTGGTAAGCTGATTAACTCCTAAAGAGGAATAAAGGCCTGCTATCTCATTAAGCCACAGGTATTAAAATTCAACTACCTGACAAGCTGCAATTCAGTAGTATCATGCTGAGAGAGTTCCTTTGTTCAAGAATAGCCTCTTAGAGATTAGTACAAGAATATCCCAGCAGGTTAAAACCTGTCTATCCACATATTTTCTGAGAATTGCCCTTCCTGAGTTCAGATTTTAATCTACAAGGCATTCCTTGGAATGCAATTGTAGTTATGTATTTTCCTATCACTTCTAAAATCTGGAGTTTAAAACATACAGTTAAGATCCAGATGAATGTTGACAGACTTGAACACTATCTAACAAAATGAAATTTAGTGTAGAGAAAAGTAAAGTCCTACACTTAGGCAAGAAAAACTAAAAGCACACATATAGACTGGGTGAAACCAGGCTCAATAGCAATAACTGTGAGAGGGATCTTGGAGTCTTAGTGGACAATCAGCTAAATATGAGCCAGCAGTGTGCAGCGGCAGCCAAAAATGCCTAACTGTCCCCTTTCCACTCCCCAGTTCTAATATTCTAACTTCCAGAAATGGTCAGGCTGACTGGGGAATTCTGAGAATTGAACTCCCCATCTCTGTAGAGTATCCAGATTGTGGACAGGTCTGCATGATGCAAATAAAGGTCAGCAGGAGGGGTGACCTTTGGTTATAGAATGTGGAAATTATTTGTTTTCTGGTTTCAATCCAGTGTCCGTATTTTGTGAATTTATTGTCAGTGGAGAGCTTGCAATGCAGATCTCCCTCAAAATGGAAGAGCTAGCATTTGCCTTGTGGGCAAATATTTTCCAAATAGTTTAGAAAGATTTATTTTATGCTTTATGATATGCATCATCATTATACTGAAAACAATATTGAGTTCTGAATACAAATTCGTACTTTTCCCTTCTCTTTGACAGGGATCCAATATCTCTGGCATGTTGAATGGCTATCCTCTGTGGGAGAACGTCACCACACACAGTCCAGAGAATGGCTGGGCAGCTATTGGGACCCATTCTTTTGAACTGACACAATTTGATAATTTTCACGTTGAGGCCAGCTGAGGTTTCAATCATACATTGTCAATTCTGAGTGTGGCCAGTCAAACCTTAATTTAATAGTTAATTATGCTACTGGAGATTTTTGATTGTTTCCTGCTAATATTAATATATGTTCAATGTTCTGATTACAAATTGCTTCTTTTCCATGTTAAAATCAAATCTTTGTTAAAACATTTTTGTGCAAGCCATAAATGGGAATGTGATGCAGTCATATCTCTTTAACTGATAGAAATTAAGCTGTTACAATTAGGTAGAATTTCTACTTTCAATATTTCTGGGTGGTCTGAAGTCCATTTGTGTGTGTGTGTAAAATTCACCTTGCAATCAGATGGGATACCTCATATCTGTTATGAAACATGGAATGATGGAATAAAGATTCCAGTGGATTTATATATCTTCTATTAGGACATGAGATTTTACTCCTGGTTTTCTAATGTCTTAATACATGTATCTAATTATAATGAAGAAAAAAAATAGTCAGCTTATGACTGGCTGGCTTATTTGTGAAGTGCTTTCTTTTAAACTACCTCTTGTTAATAACGGTATAGTAAATATATTGAAAGTGCCTATTATTAATCTTAGGTTGTTAACCCAATAACCCAGATAGCTTTATAGTTTTCTTTTTTGTGTGTTTGACTAGATACATTGAAGGGGAAAAATGTGTAGAGGTGGTCCTTAGTGAAGTTCAAAATTATGATGGACTTCTCTGGAGCTACTTACGACTTGTTCTTGCAGTTCTGATGGCTGCATCACCTCCAAAATGTGTCACATTATCATATTTTGGGGTCTTGACAACTGCCTTGGATTTATGGCTATTTTCAGCATTTGGTGGTCATGTGGCAGTGATTTTTAGTATTTTTTCTGGTTTCTGGCTTTTACTTCTGCTTTTTGGCAAAAAAACATCCATTGGTGAAAGCAGATTTGCTTAATCGTGGCATTTATTTAACAACTGCCACAAAGAAGGACATAAAATTGGGCACTGTCACATGGTGATCCGATTAACAACTGCCACGACTTACCACCATAATTCCAGGCTCATTTATGTTGTAAATCGAGGACTACCTGTAGGTGATGAAAATTCAGGAGATCTTATTTTACCTCATGCCTGCAGGCCAGTATACATATGAAGGTACTACTGCACAAGGGCATTACAAGCAGTAAAATTGTGAAATTTATAACCTAAAGAGCTGAACAAGCATCAGTGTCTGTGGATGATGTACATATTAAGGCCCTAGCTTTCATGAATAAAAAGGCATGCATAAAAATAATATTTCACATATATTAGCTTACAAATGTCAGTGTTCCTTTATGCTTTTTGGTGAAATGTAATACTGAAGGGTAAAATAATTTGCTTATTTATTGATCTTTTATTAGTTAACTAGTTTCTATTTATTTTATTACTTAGTATTTTGAAGTGTACAGGATAAGTGGCAAATACAAAATAGTGGAGAATAAAATTAATACAAACTGGCAATTTATAGGGCAGAGCAAATAGTTCTCTCTGAATATATAATTGCAAAGGTATATTGAATAATTATAGTTGGGGAAAAATATTAACACAGAATTGTAAAACTGCTCAACAGAAGTATGTAAGATGCTGAACAACGTCGATGAGTTTATGTTCATATTTTGACAAATGAAGCCGAGAGATGAATAATCTATATAAGACAAGTTATGCCAGAATGGATTGTGGTTGTAGATTTGTTTTTTGTTTTTTGCTTGTTACTATTGATAATCAGAAACCTTTGCAGTGCTGTTGCAAATTATATGGATTGTACACCTGAATCTTGTTTTATGTTTTCACATCTTTTATCTACCATTGAAGAAATCCTAATATGTTTCTGTTTCTGCTAGTGTTATGGATTGCTGGCTTTATAAAAAATAGTTCAATTTTGTGTCTCTTTTTATTTTATTCTAGGCAATGTCATGATATTCAGTAAAAACTAACTGGATATGCTACTTTGAAAGTTGATTCTGATAAAATTGTGTTTGTACTCTAGATAGCATTACAAAATATATTTGTTAAGTGACACACAATATCTGTCTCTTCTAGTTCAAAGAGACTTCTGAGAGAAGATATTACAGTTGATAATATATTGGTTTACAGGACAGAATTATGACTGTTTGTCTGTTCCAGATGTGATTAAACCACAAACCCTCAATTAAAAATATTTTTTTCTATCTTATTCAGACCAAAACAATTGTTTCCTAGCCAGGATATTGAATTAAATTTCAAACTTTAACAGTTTGTAAGTTGTTAATTACCAATTAGGCAAAGGCAAAAGTATGGTTATTGAAAGTTCCTGGTATGAATGAAATGCTTGTTTATGCTTATCTTAAGACAAAAGATGATCAGATTGGCCAATGGTAAATATACTTACATGAAGTTAATAAACTTATAATAGTATATATGCTTGTCCTGTTTATTAGTTGGATATTGATTGGTAGCAAAGTTAAACACATATCTTTAAAAGGAAAAGTTTCTTTTGAATTAGAGATAAAAATAGTAACTTTCATCATTAAAGACTAATGGCTTAGCAACTAAATAAATTTTGATACCTTATATTGGCCAGGTATTCAAAACTGGAGGTTGAAATGATGTTTATGTTCTTTCCCTTTGTAGTGTGAGCATGTAAAGGATGGACTACACAGGATATATTTTTTGTTTGTTGCCATTTATTTTTCCAAATAGACTTCAAAGTTGCAGATGAAGTAACTCATCATCGGAGCAGACAGGGTCAAAATGTTTGGCTTTTTTGTTTTGTACTGCATGATAAAACAAAGAACAAAATGGGTTTCTTAAATTTTTGTTCCTTACTACCTCCCCCCCCCCCATAAATAAATAAATAAATACAATCAGCTTGAGGATGGATTTAAGATTGAAATGAGTGCCTTAAAGTGATTAAGTTACTGAAGATCTCCATTTTGCTTTCTGAGGAGTGCAGAAAAATTATTAAGGACACATGACATCCTTTGTAAATAGTTATCTCCCCCAACCACTTCATTCTGGGAACTTATGCATTCCAACCAGTCTGAACACTAGTTGGAAAAGACTAATTCAGGGATAAACATGCTACCTGCCTTTATTAGAAAAGCTTTAATATTTATGCACTATATTAATGGTTCTGGTTTTGTATTGTGCACTAAAATTGTGTAAAACCAATTCTTGTTAATTTATGGAATTACAGATGCTTGTCATAAAATGGGCTTGTTTAATTAAGAAACTGCTTTGATGTTTGAACAATAGTCTGATGTATGTAGTTGATTATTGCAGTTCCTAATGTTTCAAACAAAGAATAAATGTCATTTAAATATTTGATTTGGTTTTGGGTTTTTTTTTGTGTGTGTGTGTGTTCAAGTCTCAATTCTCAGTCATGAAAGTTGTCTGGGTTTGTCATATTCTCTGAGCTTAACCTATAGAGTTCTTGTTGAGAAAAATTTGAGGAGAGAATGCTGTGTATGCCTTCTTGAAGTCCTGAAAGAAAGCTGGGATATACTGTGAAACTAGTCAAAATAACTTCAGATTAAATTTTCAGAGGTCACCATACTACTTAGTGAAGAACATGGTTTAGAAGTAAAACTGGGAAATAAATTTAAATGGTAGAAAATCTATTTTATAAGCAGAAGATTCAAAGATAAATCTCTGGTAGATGAAATAAATATAGTCTGAAACTTATGTCTGTCAATAGCTGGGTTACACATGATTTGTTTGATTTGGTTTAATAGGATGTATGAACAATCAACTGTAGTTGAAGAAGGGCTTAGTGCAACACTAGAGTATTGACAATATTGGGGCAATATTTTAAAGTAATATTGGACTACTATTTTAAACTAAATATTTCCTCTGTAATCTTCTGTAACCTGAAGAAATACAGAGAAGAGGAGGAATTGGGAACACAATGCAAAGAAGAGGAGGTGGATGTGTCAATCATTAGCAAAATGCTTTGGTTGCAGGGAAGAGATTTAATCAAGATATTTAAAAGTAATTGCAACAGCCCTTGGGATTGATTCTTCCATGGTCCCAAATCCAGGTTTTCTTATTCCTGTGGTACATAGTCCTGGAAGATCTTGGTCAGCGTGAGTGAGGATTCCATGACAGATTGACTTGGATTTCAACAAAGCAGCAGCAGACAAACTGAATGAAGAGGCAAAGCCCAACAGCTTCACTGCTTCAGCAACAATGCTGAGAAGTTACAGCAAGCCAGCAGCTGGTAAACCATCTTCCTGTTTTTTAGTTCAGCACAGACTGAGAAACTGCCATGCCAGTGCAGAACAGCAGGTGATAGCAACAAGCCAATCAGAAAGTAGTTAAATGGTGGCTAAAGACTTTGGTGAAAGCCCAAGCAACAAAAAATAGACTATTTAGGAAATAAGAAACATACATATACTATACCAACATAGATTTTAGTCTGGCTGTAGTGTAAGTTAACATAGGCTTAGGACTAAATGGTGAAGTAGAAAATAAGTTTGTTAATTTTTAAAAAACTAAAAGCCTCCCTGGGGAAACAAAGTGAAAATAAAAACAGCCTGTTTGTTGCTGGTTTGTACCATCTCATAGAGTCTCCTCACTGAGGAAGATTTAAGTGTGGTATGCATGCAGCCACCCAACTCAAATATGTGATTCTGGGTAAAAAAAGATAGAAAAACAGTAAGTTGCATAAAATAATGCAATGCATTGAAACATACTAAATAATAAAATGGTGAACAGGTGATTTTAAAGGTTAGAATTATGGCTCTGATTTAGAATCATAATTGAGCACTGACTTTTCTACCTGCAAGCCTCACTAATTGTTGTATACTTGTTCTGAATGATAGCCTGTCACAGCCTGTCGCAAAAATATCAAGCAAGCATTTCCCCACCCCACCCCCCAGTCTGGACTTTTAATGTCTAGCTCAAAGCCATTTTAAAATTGCATTACTTAGAAAGTTTTATAAACTTGGGAAATACAAGTACCTAGCATGTATGCAACTTTCTCTGTTTGCTTCATAATAGAACTATTTCTATCTAGAATTTTAAAAAGAGCCTGAAATTATTCTAGCAAACATTTTTTCATCAGACAAGCAGTTGGTTATCTGACAGGCATGCCTTTGATCTTATTTTCCATCTTCAGGTTCACCACAAATTTTCTGTCTTGAGTAGAAAAAACCCTCAGTAGTTCCTCCTCATGATCTTTTGAATAGTGCTCAAACAATTCTTTTTGGCAAACTTTTTGGCATTTGTCCACTAGAAAATCCAACTCGTTTATCTTTACTAGGTTTTGCAAAAAACCTTTAGTCAACCTTCAATAGCCAGCAAACTCGATTTTAGCTGCCAGCCATCATCTCCATTTCCAAACTTCTTCCTAGAGACATCCCTGATGCTATTTCACTCCACATCTAATGCCAGTGCAGATCTGGTACTGATGCCAGCATACTTGCATCTCTGATTTTTCCTGTGTCAACTTTCATATGAAAATCTAAAGTGGTACTCTCAGTTCCTTAGCAGCAAAGTGAGAACAAACGGTTTTGTTTGGATAGTTGCATTAATATATGAAGAACTGGCAAGACACTATCGTAGAGAACAGGCTCATCCCATATAGTATTCCTGAATTTCCACATTACAGCTTTCTGTAGGGGGAAAAATGATGTTGAACTCTATTGTTTATTTGATAATTTTTCTGTATTTGTCTTATTTCCCAAGATGAAATAAGAGAGCACCAGACGTGGTGGCTTAATTTCGGCAATTTAGCTCTACAACCCCTAGATAATGGCAGTCATTGCTGGAATTTGTCTTCCTTGTCTTTTATTTTTATCTTGGTATTTTTTTTTGTCTTGATTAGAACTGTGCCTGTGTTATTTGTTTGCATTAGAATCTAGTGGTGCTGAATTTATTAAAAAAAATGTAGACATCCATTTTTGACTGAGAACCAATGTGTTTCAAATTTCTTCAGTTAGTATTATTTGTAATTTGCAAGATGCCTAGATGAAGGAAAGAAATGAACTATCTTTAAGGGGTTTACATTGTGTTTTCAAATTGTGGAATTATGCAATGCTGATTCCACCCATGCTGCAGTGCCTAGCTGATGTATGATTTTCTCTCTCTGCCAACATGCTGAAAGTGGAGAGAGAGAGAGAGGGAGGGAGGGAGGGAGGGAGAGAGAGAGAGAGAGAGAGAGAGAGAGAGAGAGAGAGAGAGAAGACATATTTTCATAACTAGTGTACCTGAAAACTTGACCAAAAAGCGTTTGGAAAAGAGTCACAGAGAATGAGAACTGGTGATGCAGATGGCTGATTTTATGAGGGCATTGTTTTCTGCTGACACAAGGAAGGGTGGATCGTGTTATAAATCAATTGTGAGGAAATAGCTTGAGTTACTTCTTCCATAGCCAAGCCACTATTTGATCTTTGCTTTTATTATCAGAATATTGACCCCAACAAATGAGATTTTCTATACCTCTTGGCCTCATTGGGCTGGTTATGAAGGGGAGAAGTTTTTCTTTTTGTACTTTAAACGCTTTTCAAAAACTTAAATTATAAGGAAATAGCTATGGTGCACATTTTCTATTGTCCCAATATTTCTTCTAAATATACAAGGAAATGCAGTCAGAAGATCTGTGAATTGGCCTGAATGACCTGAGCTTAGATATTCCCCACCAAGAAAATTATTCCCCTTCTTTCCAACCCCATTTTTTTATAAGTCAACTTAAAAAATAGGAATTAATCCTATTAATTAATCATATCAATTCATTCTCATATATATTATTTTGAGCTTCTTAAAATGGCAAGGTGCAAATATAAGTTATAACCAATATTGGTGTCTGCAGCTACAACTTCTATAAATATTGAACTCAACATGGAAAGTTTTCTTAAGGAAAGAAGTATAGTGCTGATGCTTTAATTTTTTCAAAAAGTTATAAGTGAATAGTATCAGAATAACATGTTGGTTCAGTGATGCTGGAAGTGGATTTCATTCCATATTCTGAACTGTTAAGCAAAATTATATTTCAATGTTTTGGCTTGCCAGAAATAAGAAGGGCAGGTAAGAATAAGTCTCAGAATAAATTTCTAATGTTCTGCTTCAAATAGATATTCATGGAGAACTGGATTTTTTCCCCTCACTCTACATTACATTAGATGATTGCGCATAATTGCCTACTGTCAAATTCCTTTTCATTCCTATGAATCTCTTACTTTTGGTTGATATGCACTGAAGCAATAGAATTGGTGAAGAGCGTGGATGGTGAGAAGTAAAACTAGTCATGCTGCTATCATTATTCATTATGTTCTACTCTTTAGCCATCTTTTAAGGCTTCAAATGCATGTTCAATCAACACCAGTAGGAAGAATCATATCTACAGTACACTTGTTATCTCTTCTCCCAGATTTTATTAAGGAACTGCTAAGTTTATCTAGTCCAGTCCTCCAGCTGTGCAGGAAAGCCATGTCAACATTCAAAAGAGGTAGCTGTCTAATTTCTTGTTAAAGACCTTCAGAGATGGAGAACCTATATTAGAAGAGGGTAATAATGAACATCTTTGATACAGTTGCCATGAAAACTATGTGGATGCATGAAACAGTCTGCTGAAAACAGTATGTCTACAGATTTTCTAAATACGGAGGGAATGGAAGTGAAATGCTGCTCCTAAGGGTATGTCACAGAGGAAGGCTTCCCTCTAAGTGCCAGAAGACAGGCTACGGGGGCAACTTTAAAAGGACCTTTATTGCAGGTCTTGATGGGCAAGCAGGTTCATAATGAGACAGATGAACAAAAGCACTTAGAACTTTGAAGGTCAATGTCAAAAACCTTAATTTGTGCCTGATAATACAATTGGCAAGCAGTGCAGACATCATGTCATCTCTGTAGCCT